GCTTACTTTATATGCAAAGCTGTTACTCAATCACAGCAGGGCATTTAGCTTGAAGCCCCTTAAATCAGACGGATAAATCAGGTGGAAAATGGCCTTTCATTTCTAAAATATGTACAAATCCTACTAACATTATTATTATTTAAAGCGGTTCATTACCCCTTTTAAAGGAGAGAAATGTTATAACATGCTCACTGAAACACAAAAAGGGAAAACATGGCAAAAATATGTTAAAATGTATATGTTGCACAAATCATATTGAAATGTCAGGGTTGGCAGCGTGGCACAATTACAGTACTGGTCAAAGTTAAGCACTGCTGTAAAGGGAAAATGTTTTTAAAAAAAAAACAATGCCATGAAAAGTTAATATTTTTCAATTAACTTCTGCCAAATAAATCACATCAGTATTGGCGTGTCGCCTGTTAGACAGCCCTTTCTCAAACACACTTAAGGTGGGTCATCTCAAGCATCTTTAACAATAATAATAATACTTATGCTGACTAATTCTAGTAATGTCTCGTATGCATGTTTGCTTTGACATGCCTCTGGATCGAAGCTGCTTCTTCTTACCGATAGTGAGAATCACGAGCGCTAAAGCCACTAATACCCCGATGATGAAAACGGCCTCTTCACTCAGAACCTCTCTCATGAAACTCTCCATGAGCTGCTCCTCGGAGAAGTCCTCTAAGTCTTCATGAAGCTTGTGCTCCTCCATGTTTGAACGCACATGAGCGGTGCGCGGCGGAAGTGAGCGACACGTGTACTAGCTTCAGCGTGGTGACGGCTTACGTCATGAATATTAATGAGCATACGCGGCCGTTACTGACCAATCTTGAGGTACGGAGGTTGATTAATATTAATGAGCTCACCTTTACCACAGTAGCGGTAATTATTGAGTCGACGATCCTTCAATCGTTTAATTGAGATTGCCGGGGCGCATGTGTTAGACTTCAATGTACACGCACTGGAATCCTACAAATGTCGTTATTTCTGCACAAACGCGGCGAGGTTTGAATCGGCTCTGTGGGCGCTGCTGACGGAGCGCGCGCGTCCGGTTCTCCGGTGAAACAGCGACGTTCTCCGGCGTGTGTGAACCGAAGATGGCGTCCAGCGCGGCGTCGGTGTGTCGCTACTGGACGCGCTTGGACTTGCAGCAGCTGCAGGTCAGTGGCTCTCTGCGGGAACGGTTACAGAGGCTGTGCTCGTGTTGATTAGCCGCTGTGATGTAAACACTGTCCGGAGAGTCACCGACAGCAGAGCACTCATCAACTTTCATCTGATGCTCGACACAGACGTGTTTGCTAACCGTGCGAATAATCATATAATCAATAATACTTCGCTGTGCTCAAATCTCAGTCATTTATCAGGCTAGCGTTAGCTAGCTGCGAGCTAGAACTAGCCAGTCTAGTTAGCCCTCCGTGTTTGTTCTTAGTGACGTCATCATTTGTTTTTATTGTTTTGTTGTTGTTTATTATGCCCCCTTGGTCAGCCTGAGGTTGTTTTAAAGGTGCTATATAAATATAAAGCAGATACAGAAAGTAAGAAAGCTGTCAATCAACACAATTTCGTCTCTGATCAACACATTTAAACTCACAGGTCACGCTTCTTCATGGTCTCCGCGGTTGTTGAAAACGGTTTAGTTCTAACTGCAAACACATTGTTTAGCACGCTGCGGAATATGAGTTTAGACTGTGCGTTGTGTGCAGTCCAGTCACCTCCCATCTAAGAGGTTATACCACTGATCTATAACAGCTGTAGAGCTGCAGAGATCAGTGTTTAGACATCTGTAAATAACTGAAGACAGACTTGTGACAGCACCTTATCCGCTTCTGCCACAGACAAACCAGCAGCTTCAAACACCAGCCCAATGTTGTTGTTATTATCATCAATATTATTTATGCTCCATAAATGAGCCTGCGACACAGTAAGCTTGAAGAGCAGAAACAGCACGCACTGTCCTCCGATCGTAATACAATACACTCAGACCATCTGCTGGTAGTATTACTGCTGGTTTATTTATTGATTTAATGAGTAATGCATTATAGGGCTGCCACTAATGACTATTTTTATTTCGATTCATCTATTGACTCATTTATCGATTAATCTTAACGATTGATTTCCCTCAAAACATCTACAGTTTCACTTAAGATCATTTGATTAAACTATATTTTATTAAACCAAATGAAATCCAGATCTCTCTGAAATCCTTTTTTTTTTTTAAAGCAAAAGTAAAAAACAAAAAAAAGACAACATGTTCCACGTGTTCTAGTCCACTAATATTAAAGTTATAATCAAAAAAACTCTTTTTAAAGGAGTATTTACCTGAAATGTTATTTAACAGAATTTATTTAGGAGAAAAATGTAAATGTGCAGTATTTCTGAAAGAAAAGAAAAACTTATTTTTTTTTTTGTTTTTTTAAAATAAAATAAATTAATTGGAGATGCTTCCTATAATTATAATTTATTTGTGGTAATAAAAATAGATGTAAGTGAACAATAGCCTTTAAAATTACTTAAAATGCATATATAATAGCAATGAGGCAATAATTAGTTCAAATAAATTATCAAAAGCAAGAAATCGTATGGTTTTATTGAACAAAACTGTTAAAATACATAATGCATTATAAACAATAGAGCTAATGTACTTTACGCATTACAACAAAGGCCTGCAGGGGGCGCCAACGGCCTGATGATTGTTTTTACACATTACTGTGCGATCTAATCCATGTTTAATATTGACCAAGCACCATTTCATTCAAATGTCCACTTAATCTTTAATATCTGGCCATTTCTTTAGGACAGAGACGCTATAGCCACTGTAATTAAAAGAATATGTGGACATCAGAACGTTATAAACTCAGAGTGAGGGTTTGAGCTTTTATTCTGAAACCGCGAGATGATGTTTTCTCCTGAGTTTGCGCTGATTTATAAATGATTTACCTTAAATCTGATGAAATGCGCACGCTGCGCATTCAATTAAATCGTAGCGTTTGTGAATTCACAATTATGCTTACTTATGATTTGATGCATTATAAAAATATTTGGCAAATTGAATTAGGTCCCTTTCCTCTCCTGCACCATTCACCTTCTCCCATGTTTCCTCTCCATCTCTCTACATCTTTGTCTGTGTACATCTATTGTTTATAAGGCATGATGTGCAATGACGAATTACGCTACAGCACTTTTATTATTGCACTGATTGGCTATTAGCTGCGAGCAGACAGTGTCAACTATATATTGGAAAAAACAGTGACCATAAATGTAAAGAAACGAAGTTGCTTGTCAGGTTTTCCTAACAAGCAACCATATTTTTTTTTAAATAAGCCCCCCAAAAAACGCAACCTGTGATTTTTATTTTTTTATTTTTTTAACTCGACTTAACCAAAAAAGTAGCCTAAAGTCACGTAAAATACACAGACTTGACAACTCTACCTTTACGCATTACAACAAAGGCCTGCAGGGGGCGCCAACGGCCTGATGATTGTTTTTACACATTACTGTGCGATCTAATCCATGTTTAATATTGACCAAGCACCATTTCATTCAAATGTCCACTTAATCTTTAATATCTGGCCATTTCTTTAGGACAGAGACGCTATAGCCACTGTAATTAAAAGAATATGTGGACATCAGAACGTTATAAACTCAGAGTGAGGGTTTGAGCTTTTATTCTGAAACCGCGAGATGATGTTTTCTCCTGAGTTTGCGCTGATTTATAAATGATTTACCTTAAATCTGATGAAATGCGCACGCTGCGCATTCAATTAAATCGTAGCGTTTGTGAATTCACAATTATGCTTACTTATGATTTGATGCATTATAAAAATATTTGGCAAATTGAATTAGGTCCCTTTCCTCTCCTGCACCATTCACCTTCTCCCATGTTTCCTCTCCATCTCTCTACATCTTTGTCTGTGTACATCTATTGTTTATAAGGCATGATGTGCAATGACGAATTACGCTACAGCACTTTTATTATTGCACTGATTGGCTATTAGCTGCGAGCAGACAGTGTCAACTATATATTGGAAAAAACAGTGACCATAAATGTAAAGAAACAAAGTTGCTTGTCAGGTTTTCCTAACAAGCAACCATTTTTTTTTTTAAATAAGCCCCCCAAAAAACGCAACCTGTGATTTTTATTTTTTTATTTTTTTAACTCGACTTAACCAAAAAAGTAGCCTAAAGTCACGTAAAATACACGGACTTGACAACTCTACTAGAGATGTTTTGTTTTTACGAAGAGGCAAGAGAGACAGTGCCTCCTCAAAAAAATAGATAATAGAATAAACCACAGTACAAAGACAAATATGATGAAATATGACATAAAATTGTATCACTTATAGGGCTGCACAATTAATCGAATTTCTAATCGCGATTACAATTATGGATGCCACAATTACGTGATCGTTCAAAGCGGCAATTAATCGTTCAAAGTCCACTTATGTTATTCTGCAAGCTTAAGATATGTTTTTTTCTTTCTACATGTTATCTTAAAGGTTTTTCCATTTGTTTTAGTATAACATTATAATACCATTCATATTTTAACTTTTTTGTCATTTAAAGAAGAAACCAATCCGATGTATAGTTGACATTTGAGGCTTAATACTATAGAAATGCAATAAAGGTTTTTCAGATAGTGTTTTCTGCTTGTTCATTTTCATATAAAAATACGGCATGCAGTTGCATCAAACAATGGTATAAACATCATTCAATGTAAATTGTGATAATCGCAATTACAATTTCAAGGGAATAATCGACAGTTATGATTTTTGTCATAATCGTGCAGCCCTATCAGCACAAAGACCCCAGGGTTCCTGCAGGTCCTTAACAAGTCAGTTTTATAAATGTTATAAAACGTCTTCAATGATGTAAGAAAAGTATTACTTTTTCTTAATTTAAGAGGTCTTAAATTTGGATATGGAAAATAGTATACTTTGTTTTAATAAACAGAACATTATGCAATGGGAGTAGATTTTAATGTAATACTATAAATAACACTGTTTGCTGTTTTCTAAAGAGCTCCAGGTGTAATGCTTACTTTATATGCAAAGCTGTTACTCAATCACAGCAGGGCATTTAGCTTGAAGCCCCTTAAATCAGACGGATAAATCAGGTGGAAAATGGCCTTTCATTTCTAAAATATGTACAAATCCTACTAACATTATTATTATTTAAAGCGGTTCATTACCCCTTTTAAAGGAGAGAAATGTTATAACATGCTCACTGAAACACAAAAAGGGAAAACATGGCAAAAATATGTTAAAATGTATATGTTGCACAAATCATATTGAAATGTCAGGGTTGGCAGCGTGGCACAATTACAGTACTGGTCAAAGTTAAGCACTGCTGTAAAGGGAAAATGTTTTCAAAAAAAACAATGCCATGAAAAGTTAATATTTTTCAATTAACTTCTGCCAAATAAATCACATCAGTATTGGCGTGTCGCCTGTTAGACAGCCCTTTCTCAAACACACTTAAGGTGGGTCATCTCAAGCATCTTTAACAATAATAATAATACTTATGCTGACTAATTCTAGTAATGTCTCGTATGCATGTTTGCTTTGACATGCCTCTGGATCGAAGCTGCTTCTTCTTACCGATAGTGAGAATCACGAGCGCTAAAGCCACTAATACCCCGATGATGAAAACGGCCTCTTCACTCAGAACCTCTCTCATGAAACTCTCCATGAGCTGCTCCTCGGAGAAGTCCTCTAAGTCTTCATGAAGCTTGTGCTCCTCCATGTTTGAACGCACATGAGCGGTGCGCGGCGGAAGTGAGCGACACGTGTACTAGCTTCAGCGTGGTGACGGCTTACGTCATGAATATTAATGAGCATACGCGGCCGTTACTGACCAATCTTGAGGTACGGAGGTTGATTAATATTAATGAGCTCACCTTTACCACAGTAGCGGTAATTATTGAGTCGACGATCCTTCAATCGTTTAATTGAGATTGCCGGGGCGCATGTGTTAGACTTCAATGTACACGCACTGGAATCCTACAAATGTCGTTATTTCTGCACAAACGCGGCGAGGTTTGAATCGGCTCTGTGGGCGCTGCTGACGGAGCGCGCGCGTCCGGTTCTCCGGTGAAACAGCGACGTTCTCCGGCGTGTGTGAACCGAAGATGGCGTCCAGCGCGGCGTCGGTGTGTCGCTACTGGACGCGCTTGGACTTGCAGCAGCTGCAGGTCAGTGGCTCTCTGCGGGAACGGTTACAGAGGCTGTGCTCGTGTTGATTAGCCGCTGTGATGTAAACACTCTCCGGAGAGTCACCGACAGCAGAGCACTCATCAACTTTCATCTGATGCTCGACACAGACGTGTTTGCTAACCGTGCGAATAATCATATAATCAATAATACTTCGCTGTGCTCAAATCTCAGTCATTTATCAGGCTAGCGTTAGCTAGCTGCGAGCTAGAACTAGCCAGTCTAGTTAGCCCTCCGTGTTTGTTCTTAGTGACGTCATCATTTGTTTTTATTGTTTTGTTGTTGTTTATTATGCCCCCTTGGTCAGCCTGAGGTTGTTTTAAAGGTGCTATATAAATATAAAGCAGATACAGAAAGTAAGAAAGCTGTCAATCAACACAATTTCGTCTCTGATCAACACATTTAAACTCACAGGTCACGCTTCTTCATGGTCTCCGCGGTTGTTGAAAACGGTTTAGTTCTAACTGCAAACACATTGTTTAGCACGCTGCGGAATATGAGTTTAGACTGTGCGTTGTGTGCAGTCCAGTCACCTCCCATCTAAGAGGTTATACCACTGATCTATAACAGCTGTAGAGCTGCAGAGATCAGTGTTTAGACATCTGTAAATAACTGAAGACAGACTTGTGACAGCACCTTATCCGCTTCTGCCACAGACAAACCAGCAGCTTCAAACACCAGCCCAATGTTGTTGTTATTATCATCAATATTATTTATGCTCCATAAATGAGCCTGCGACACAGTAAGCTTGAAGAGCAGAAACAGCACGCACTGTCCTCCGATCGTAATACAATACACTCAGACCATCTGCTGGTAGTATTACTGCTGGTTTATTTATTGATTTAATGAGTAATGCATTATAGGGCTGCCACTAATGACTATTTTTATTTCGATTCATCTATTGACTCATTTATCGATTAATCTTAACGATTGATTTCCCTCAAAACATCTACAGTTTCACTTAAGATCATTTGATTAAACTATATTTTATTAAACCAAATGAAATCCAGATCTCTCTGAAATCCTTTTTTTTTTTTAAAGCAAAAGTAAAAAACAAAAAAAAGACAACATGTTCCACGTGTTCTAGTCCACTAATATTAAAGTTATAATCAAAAAAACTCTTTTTAAAGGAGTATTTACCTGAAATGTTATTTAACAGAATTTATTTAGGAGAAAAATGTAAATGTGCAGTATTTCTGAAAGAAAAGAAAAACTTATTTTTTTTTTTGTTTTTTTAAAATAAAATAAATTAATTGGAGATGCTTCCTATAATTATAATTTATTTGTGGTAATAAAAATAGATGTAAGTGAACAATAGCCTTTAAAATTACTTAAAATGCATATATAATAGCAATGAGGCAATAATTAGTTCAAATAAATTATCAAAAGCAAGAAATCGTATGGTTTTATTGAACAAAACTGTTAAAATACATAATGCATTATAAACAATAGAGCTAATGTACTTTACGCATTACAACAAAGGCCTGCAGGGGGCGCCAACGGCCTGATGATTGTTTTTACACATTACTGTGCGATCTAATCCATGTTTAATATTGACCAAGCACCATTTCACTCAAATGTCCACTTAATCTTTAATATCTGGCCATTTCTTTAGGACAGAGACGCTATAGCCACTGTAATTAAAAGAATATGTGGACATCAGAACGTTATAAACTCAGAGTGAGGGTTTGAGCTTTTATTCTGAAACCGCGAGATGATGTTTTCTCCTGAGTTTGCGCTGATTTATAAATGATTTACCTTAAATCTGATGAAATGCGCACGCTGCGCATTCAATTAAATCGTAGCGTTTGTGAATTCACAATTATGCTTACTTATGATTTGATGCATTATAAAAATATTTGGCAAATTGAATTAGGTCCCTTTCCTCTCCTGCACCATTCACCTTCTCCCATGTTTCCTCTCCATCTCTCTACATCTTTGTCTGTGTACATCTATTGTTTATAAGGCATGATGTGCAATGACGAATTACGCTACAGCACTTTTATTATTGCACTGATTGGCTATTAGCTGCGAGCAGACAGTGTCAACTATATATTGGAAAAAACAGTGACCATAAATGTAAAGAAACGAAGTTGCTTGTCAGGTTTTCCTAACAAGCAACCATATTTTTTTTTAAATAAGCCCCCCAAAAAACGCAACCTGTGATTTTTATTTTTTTATTTTTTTAACTCGACTTAACCAAAAAAGTAGCCTAAAGTCACGTAAAATACACAGACTTGACAACTCTACCAGAGATGTTTTGTTTTTACGAAGAGGCAAGAGAGACAGTGCCTCCTCAAAAAAATAGATAATAGAATAAACCACAGTACAAAGACAAATATGATGAAATATGACATAAAATTGTATCACTTATAGGGCTGCACAATTAATCGAATTTCTAATCGCGATTACAATTATGGATGCCACAATTACGTGATCGTTCAAAGCGGCAATTAATCGTTCAAAGTCCACTTATGTTATTCTGCAAGCTTAAGATATGTTTTTTTCTTTCTACATGTTATCTTAAAGGTTTTTCCATTTGTTTTAGTATAACATTATAATACCATTCATATTTTAACTTTTTTGTCATTTAAAGAAGAAACCAATCCGATGTATAGTTGACATTTGAGGCTTAATACTATAGAAATGCAATAAAGGTTTTTCAGATAGTGTTTTCTGCTTGTTCATTTTCATATAAAAATACGGCATGCAGTTGCATCAAACAATGGTATAAACATCATTCAATGTAAATTGTGATAATTGCAATTACAATTTCAAGGGAATAATCGACAATTATGATTTTTGTCATAATCGTGCAGCCCTATCAGCACAAAGACCCCAGGGTTCCTGCAGGTCCTTAACAAGTCAGTTTTATAAATGTTATAAAACGTCTTCAATGATGTAAGAAAAGTATTACTTTTTCTTAATTTAAGAGGTCTTAAATTTGGGTATGGAAAATCGTATACTTTGTTTTAATAAACAGAACAATAATTACATTGTTAATGTAAAAATATAAAACAGAATTGTGTTGGTTGTTGTTTACTTGAAAGTGTAAATAAAGTGTATTCATTTAACCTGACAAATGTGCAAGTAATGTGCATGTACAGTAAGTGTAACTGGACCATGAATTTACATTTAAAAAATAAATAACTCTTATCAGTTGTGAAGTGAGCTCATCTGCTCTGTCTGATAGTGATGGGTCTTTCTTGAGCGATTCGTTCATTTTGAACGAATCTTTAATGTGACTCGGGAAGAACGAGTCGTCTCGGGGAGTGACTCGCTCATTCAGTCGCACATGCGCTACAATAGGTGCTGTGTTTTGAGTCTTCGGGTTTGGGTCGTTCGTTCATCACGTGACAGCCGCATAAACTTAACCAACGCAACAAAAACAAGTATCTCTGCTTTATCAAAGTGATTTCACCATCATATGGACAAAATTGAATGCATAACCAACTCTTTATTAACTTTATTACCACAGGAAAAGAACCATCATACACATTTATAAACTGTAAATACAATTTGAGACCAGAAACGCATCACGTAACTGTAGGAGTAAATAATAATAATAATAATAATAACTATGCACCCATTTGTAAGGATTGGGAAGGTTGCTGTCATGTCACGTGACAAAAGAACGAACGACTCGAACCCGAAGGCTTGTCAGATAAGAGGTGATGTGAGTTAGCATAGACTAAAGATCCAGGTAAACAATTCATTAATATTTTCTGTTTCAACAGAAAACGCTAACGCTTATAGCATTAGTTTTGTCTTGTTTGTAGTGTGATCAACGTTTGCGTTAGTAGTAGATGTGTTAGGGAAGTAACGTGTAACATTTTAATTACATTTTGCTCAAATTAACCAAATGACTCGAAAAAAGATTTGTTCATTTTGCTGAACGAGACTCAAAGATCCAAGTCGGTAAAATGATCCGAACTTCCCATCACTACTGTCTACATACTGTGTTTCAGAGAGAGCTAGACAGCTCCGCCACGCTCCTAGCCAGCCGGCAGGATGACCGCGAGCAGTCCAGGAAAAAACTCATCGACCAGAGCCGCGACTTTAAGAAGAACACACCAGAGGTGAGTTATGTTTCTAAGCTCTCTTTCATTTAGGTGTCTGGCTCCGGGATACGCTCCTCCCTCGCAAGCCCTCGTCCGTTTCGCCAGCCCTTGTCTGGCAGTAGATGCTGAAGGATGTTTGCTTTTAATTGTGTGTAAATATTTAGACATTGGAACTGGAATGTCAAAAACAAGTAAATATCCTCATTAAATGAAACTAGGAATGGGCAGGTGTACCTCAGGACTCCAGAAATTGGAAGTGACAGCAATGTTTGAGCTTGAAAACGACGATCGCGTGACTTATATGGAAATATATTTTTTTAATTAATCGCGATTAATTGTCGTGCTGACTGACGAGAACCAGCCGGCAGGATGACCGCGAGCAGTCCAGGAAAAAACTCATCGACCAGAGCCGCGACTTTAAGAAGAACACACCAGAGGTGAGTTATGTTTCTAAGCTCTCTTTCATTTAGGTGTCTGGCTCCGGGATACGCTCCTCCCTCGCAAGCCCTCGTCCGTTTCGCCAGCCCTTGTCTGGCAGTAGATGCTGAAGGATGTTTGCTTTTAATTGTGTGTAAATATTTAGACATTGGAACTGGAATGTCAAAAACAAGTAAATATCCTCATTAAATGAAACTAGGGATGGGCAGGTGTACCTCAGGACTCCAGAAATTGGAAGTGACAGCAATGTTTGAGCTTGAAAACGACGATCGCGTGACTTATATGGAAATATATTTTTTGTAGTGCGGTCAAACAATTAATCGCGATTAATTGTCGTGCTGACTGACGAGAAGAGCGAGGCGAGCTGACTGATGAGAAGAGAGGAGCGAGGCGAGGTAGGGCTGGGCGATAATTCGATAACGATAATTATCGCGATATAATTTTACTCGAGAAACCGATATGAACAGTTCGATATAACGTTTATGCGCCAAAATCAGAACGAAACCGTGCGACTCATTTGAATCACGCCACACAGACCGTTCATCTGCTCGGACCAATGTTCAAAATGGCACGAGCTCACTAGAGCAGATGCGTTTACTTGCTCACGCGAGCTCTAAGCAGCGCTGTGAGATCCAGTGTGAAGCGCTTGAACTCAGCGATGAACACAAATGACTCGGTGATTTTAAACTGGTTTAAAGCCAAACAGGAGAAACACTGTGTGCAACGAACGAGACAGTCAGAAGGCTTTTCAATCTACACATCGCCATCATTTACCATGGATTTATTGTAGTAACACTCACTGCACCATGGTATTGTGGCACAAATGTGGGATATTCACATTTAATTTTATTACAGGAGTAATGGTATATAATTATAGTATGTATTTGTGATTAAGCTATAGCATGTGTGCATTTATACTGAATGTTTTTAGACTACTGTTTTTCATACAGGCTACCTAAAAACCATATAGTTATATTTTACCATGGTATTGAGGTGCTATATGTGTGGTTTTAACTGTTTATCATGATTTAAATGTATGCTACTATGGAAGACCAATGCTTAATAAAAAAAAAAAACGGTCAGAATAAATGTAACCATATAAGACTGAGGTTGCTACAATTTTTACAGATGTGACTGATTTTGATAATGAACAAAAATGTACCTCTGCATCCTAGCTCAAGCTACTATCAAATGTGCATTTAAAAGAGACAAAGTTATTATTATTATTATTATTTTCAGGCAACCCAAACCTGTTTCTTGATTTGAAACAATATCACTCATTAGAACACGCAGAAACTAAGAAATTAATTTTTCTATTTAGATATTTATTTTGGTATGGAAAATTAATGGTATGGTTTCTACAACTTTCACTGTAGAGCAAAAATCTGGCTTTAAACTTAAAAGAAATAAAGATTTGACATTTATCGTGATAATTATCGATATCGACTGATATGAAAAAAATTATCGTGATATTTTTTTTGGCCATATCGCCCAGCCCTAGTATGAAGTACAACTGAAGCACATTGAGTTGTCTATAATATTTGGTCCTGAAGCTTTCCGAGTGTCAGATCATGCTTTTTTTTTTCTGCATGCATTGCTTCCCGTCTGACTGACAGTCTTTGTGTTCTTTATGTGTGTCTGATGTAGGATCTGAGGAAGCTTGTGGCTCCGCTGCTGAAGAGTTTCCAGGCTGAGGTGAGTTTTCTCCTGAGCCGTGAAAGAAGAAAACCAGCAGATGAATGACTTTATTCAGCACCGCAGAAAAAGACGACATAACAGCACAGTCATTATGAGTATGATACAAGTGTGTGTGGATGATATTTGCTCATCTTTGTCTCTTCTAGATTGATGCGTTGAGTAAGAGGAGTAAAGAGTCAGAGACAGCCTTTCTAAACGTCTATAAACGACTGATTGATGTGCCGGGTAAGTCTGTGTGTCACAATCCTGTGAGCTGCACAATTAAAACATCACCATCCTCAAATATTTCCCTTTATAATGCAGTAATAGTAGGTAATAATACTGATTGCAGTAATATTCATTTCCAGTCAGAGGATGAGCCAACTGTATGACATATTCATATGCATCCCAACAATCAGAGACCTGCATTCTTACAAGACTTTATTGTTGTTTTATAGCTGTAGATCAGCCAAAGTCAAAGTTTTCATTGATCCTTCTATGAAACCGCACAAGGACCCCAAAGTTCCCATGGATCCCTAAAAAGATCCAAATTTAGTTCAATAAAATTTAAGGTCATAATGTCTTTAAATTTCTGAAAATGTATAAGAAAATCCCTAATTATCATTTTAACAGGTCTTAAATTTGGGACACAAAAGCAGTAATCGCGATATGGCCTTATGTGATTATTAAACTTCTAAAGGCTACGATTTCATTAAATAAATATGAGCGGTGTACATTCGAAGTAAAAATGCAGTGCTGTTGTGCGTTCTACTGGCTCACAATCAGTGAATACTGCACATTTATGCCAAGAGACTGCTTATGATCAACTGTTGATGAATTATGACATGTGGTAATATGTTGTAGATGGAGGTAAGATGCATATTTTATCTCCCTCATTTGTTTGAATGAGCAGCTGGAAGTAGTATAGCAAAGACATTTCAAAATAAGAGTCTCAATGTGTTTCAGGTGAGTTTATAATTAATCTCGCATTATGCATAAAATCTTTTCTGGTTATTATTGATTATAATTCAACGTAAACTCTTGTAGCTTCTCTCTGGGCTGCCCCGTCGCAGGAAGAAAATACTAAGAACATTAATTAACATTTAGTATGTAGATTTTTCAGGTATTGGCACAAAATATCTGTGATCTGTGTTTCTTTAGGAGTAGTAAATGAAAAAGAACTCAAACTTGCGCTCATGACATGAGAATCTGTCTTGATCAGTTTTTTAAAAGCTTTCCTGAATGCAGTGTTAACTGTGGCCGTCTCTTTATCTTGCGTCTGTGTCTGTGTATGTGTATGTGTCTGCGTCTGTGTATGTATCTGTGTGTGTGTGTGTGTGTCTCTGTGTGTATGTGTATGTATCTTTCTTTAGGAGTAGTAAATGAAAAAGAACTCAAACTTGCGCTCATGACATGAGAACCTGTCTTGATCAGTTTTTTAAAAGCTTTCCTGAATGCAGTGTTAACTGTGGCCGTCTCTTTATCTTGCGTCTGTGTCTGTGTATGTGTATGTGTCTGCGTCTGTGTATGTATCTGTGTGTGTGTGTGTCTGTGTCTCTGTGTGTCTGTGTGTGTGTGTGTGTGTGTAGATCCGGTGCCGGCGTTGGAGTTGTCGCAGCAGCTGCATCTGAAGGTCCAGAGGATGCATGATATTGATACAGAAAACCAGAAGTTGCGTGAGACGCTCGAGGAATACAACAAAGAGTTTGCTGAGGTCAAGAACCAGGGTGAGACACACACACACACACACACACTCGTAACACTGGAAACATCCTGTCATCTTTTCTCCATGATGGAGTAGAGATGAGGTTAGGCTGAGACTCAAATTGCACGGCCACTGACTGTTCATGAAAATATCAGTATTGTTCTCGTTCTGGAAAAAAGTGGTATCGGAACAACGTTGCAGTACTGAATATGTTACACTGTGCAAATCTGGCGGTTCAGTATCAGTCTCTGTCTAGCAGCTGTCAGTACGCAAGAATCATCTCCAGCACTGTAAATGGCACAACACACGAATGTTATGTACACGAACACTTTGATTGTTTTGTGTTTGAACTGTTTGAACATCATAGCAGTGCAAACCCTCTGCATCACTTTTCATTTCTCAAGGCTGTTTAAACACAGGGATGGATCACAACAGGCTCCTCTGATTCTCACCTGGCTGAGAATCAGAGGAGTGTGTTAGCACAGGTTCTGTGTGTGTGTGTGTGTGTGT